ACCTTTTTAAAAATACAGTCTTAGAAAGATTGTTTTGGAGGTTAATGGAAATTTCTTTACATTAGGATTGTTTACAAGGCTTTCAGGTAGATTTTTCTGGAATTATTTTGGAGCTAGGAAGCTTGGATATTTTTACTTTTAGTTTTGAGCACAAGTTTTGACTGAAGCTCGAAGTGCAAAACAGTTGCACCTGAGAAAGGTAGGGAATTTAGAACTGTAAGGGAATAGGTCACCTTAATCTAAGCAGTTTAGTTTAAAGCTTGCAAATAACAAATATTTGTTAAAATGCTGAAGGGGTTATTTGACACTTAGAAAATCTAAATTAACCTAATGAGGACTCTGGGAAAAGACTAGTCAGTTTTTCAAGACACAAAATTGAGGCCACAGTTAAATTAAACTCTATGGATGTGAAAGGAAAAGAAGTTCTCTGGTGTGAGGACTGTAGAGGAATGTTGTGATTAATGGGTTTGTATTTACAGTGTGTTTTGAAATCTTTAAATATGTGTTATATGCAAATAGTTTATTTTATTTTCATTACTTTTGCCTAATAATTGTCTGTTTTATTGTTAAATCTGAATCTGGAACATCAGTTCTTAATATTTCAGTGGATGATCACCTTGTTAAAACCAAAAAACAATCTATTGAGCCAGATTTCATTTTGGATCTTAGTTGTCCCAAAGCAACATTAGTTGGGATCATGTTAGTAGTTTTCTGTGGAGACACAACAGACATCAACAGCTCAGTTAAATTAACAGCTTAGTTAAATAATATTAATAAGGTCTGAGGCCCAATTCAATTCATCCTTTGGTGTCTTACTTAGAGTGCACACTCCATATATGATGATCATTTCTGTTCTGAAAACTGGTCTAAATCAAGTACCCAAACTACTGTATTTTAAAAACACTTCACTGGTTATTTTATGTTTATAATACAGATTCTAACAATTACCACTTATCTGGGAGTTGGAGCAGGATTGGACCTGTGAAGGAGGTGAGGCCTACATTAGTTACCTGGGAGTCAGAGCGGGATCTTTCCAAGCAGCTGAGTTTGGAATATCGATAAATTCATTGGGCAGTGAGGAACTATATTAGGGACTCTCTGTAAATCATTGTAAATTAGAAAATGTTTATTTTGACGGAAACATTCTAACTAATATATACCAGGAATAAATGAAAGTCAAGGCCAAGATAATATAATAATATAAATAAGCCAAAGATGAGTAAAGGAAATAGAGTAGTATTTACGTAAGGGAAGTAAGTTTAAGATATGGTGGTACAGGGGTTGGTTGAATGAAATAGGTAGTCTGTAATATGTGGGGTGTCATGGATCCTATCAGGGTCCCAGATGATCACATCTAGGAAACGCTTCCAGCTGCAGAAACTTGACCTTTGGGTTTTCAGAGCTCAAGTGGCAGCTGAAGAGACTGGCACATCCACAAGGCTGAGAGTTATGTAGGCGGCACTTTCAGAGAAATGGTCACACTGCAGCTTAATAGACTGGAGGAAAGAAGGGAATGAGTAACCATCAGGCTGTCCAAAATAAACAGTGTCAGAATCCCCAGGGTCCTGCTAACAAATTGGTTTTCCATTTTAGAAGCTGATGAGGGCATTCATTCCACAGTGGAATGCAGTCAGAGCCACGTTGATGGGGTGTACATTAACTTCAGATGGCATTTGATACAATGCCACATAACAGATTTGAGAGGCCATGCACGGTAACAACATGGATACAAAATTGGCTGAGTGATAGGAAACAGAGAGTATTGGTCAATGGTTATTTTTCAGGTTGGAGGAAGGCTTGTGATGAAGCTCCCTAGGGTCGGCATTGGGACCTTGCTTTTCCTGATATATATTAGTGATTTATGTCTTGATGTACAGGGGACAATTTCAAAGTTTGCAGATAACATGAAACTTGGAAGAATTGTAAAGAGTGATGAGGGCAGTATAGAACTCCAGAAGGACATAGATAAGTTGCCGGAATGGTCGGAGAGGAGGCAGATGAGTGGGTGGGTAAGTGGAGCTGAGTCCATGAAAAGATCAGCCATGATCTTATTGAATGGCAGAGCAGGTCTGAGGGGCCAGATGGCCTACTCCTGCTCCTGTTTCTTATATCCTTAGATGAGAGTCAGTGAAGAGGTGTGAAACAATATAAAATAGAGGGTACAATTCTAAAGAGGGTGCAGGAGCAGAGGGCCTGGGTGTAAATGTATATAGATTACTGAAGGCAGAAAAACAGATCATAAAGCATACAGTGTCCTAGGCTTTATTAATAGGGGAAGAGAGTACAATTGCAAGGAGGTGATGTTGAGGTGTAAGATACTTCTAACCCTCAGCTAGATTGCTGTAAACAGTTCTTCCATTTTATAGGAAGGATGGGACCGCATTGTGGAGAGTACATACGCAATTTAGAAGAATGGTTCCATGGATGAGGAACTTTATTTATGAGGGTAGATTAAAGAAGCTGGGGCTGTTTTCTTCAGAGAGTAAAAGGTTAAGATGAGGTCTGGTAGAAGATTTCAGAATCATGAGCCCGCTGAATAGAGTGAATAGGGATAAACTGTCCCCATTCATAAAAGGAATCAAGAACAATACAGCACAGATTTAAAGTGATTTGCAAAAGGAGCAATTGTGATATGATAGAAAAAAATTTCACACAGCATGTAGTTAGGGTTTGGAACCTACTGCCTGGAAAGGTGGAAAGGTTCAGTTGAGGCATTCAAGACAGCATTGGATGATTATTTGGCCAGAAATAAATTTGACAATATGGTGAAAAAGCAGGAGATTGGCAGTAGGTAGAATTAGAATTAGCTTTATTGTCACATATACTCACGTGAATGCAGTGAAAAGTTTACAAGTCACTACTTACAGCGCCATCCTAGGAACGAAGGTACAGATTCTTAAGAACAAACTTGTAGGGAAAACATTAGAAAAGTAAATAAATAAAAACTCCAGCAATAAATTAGAAAAATAGAGAAGTAAGAGTTCAGAATAACAGTCCTTCCAACCCAGACTGGACCAGGCTTCACCTTGAGGCCGGGAGTGCCAGGAGTCCATGCCGAGGCCAAGAGTCCGAGTCTGCGCCTAGGGCGAGAGTTCAAGTCCACGTTGAGGCCGATAGTTCACACTGCCTTTCATCCCAGATATTGCAGATGCCGCCCGAGGACAGAAGGTAAAAAGAAAAAGCAAGAAAACACAAAAAGAAACGGACTAAACGGATGAGTTCTGGCGCAGGAGTCCTACTCTGCCACCATCTTGGAAGCAGTTTTCAGGTAATGATGCTCATTTGAAGCACCAGTGCGGGGACAATGGGCCAATGGCCTCCTTCCATGTCATAACACTTCTGTAATTCTTTGATTATTTTGTTTTCACATTAAATGAAATGGAGGACCATCAAAATTATTATCAATTTTTATTTTGCATAACCTAAGGTAAGTTTTCAAGCAAATTCTTAATCTGTAACTTATTGTTGGAAACAATTAAAACAATGCTACACAGGGAGGGACAGCAGAGTACTTAGATGTTGCCACTGCCCTGGTACAAAAACTGACTGAAGTATGAAAAATGAATCAGAAGTGGAAATTAGTCAAAATTTTCACAATTAAACAGTTATTACTTTCATATACACCATCAATTTGTCATATTGTGGCCATTCTAATGTGTGATCTTCTGAAACCTGTTCCCACATTCTAAAAGTCAATGTGTTTTCATTACTGTTATTACTGAATTGAACTCAGTGCTACAGTAAAATAATTACCATAAATCCCTACCATATCATTCAAGGTAAGACAGATAGAGAAAGTTTACTTTAATATGTAATGCACTTCCACTGTAGCTCGCATTGGTTTAATATCAATTTCCCAAATGCAATATTCACATGTAATCTTATTTGCATAAAAATACACACTTTTTTTGGGTAACAAAAATTGCCTTAAATTCCAAGTTAAAATGTTGGGAACAATTAAATAGAAGAAAATTAAAGCAGAGAAACAAAACTGGCTTCTGGCTTACATTAAAAAGCATCTCATCAGATATCTTTGCTATTGTGGGGAGGGCATATTATTAAGAATTGGCAGACAAAAGAAAAAAGACCTGGAGATACATATGTCTGCAGATAAGTGATCATGGCACTTGGCTGTCTCTTTGCTAGTGCCTGAATTTGAAGTGGTGCTGCTGTCAGGTGGAATTTCATCTTTCCCACCTATGGCACTATCTTTGTATTCAGGTCTTTCAGAGGATTTCCCTCGCCCTAATTTTGTAATGTCTTGTAGCTTGACAACATTCTCCCCCCAAGCCAATCACTGGATTTCTCACACTCTGGCCTATTTACATTCCTGATTTTAGTTATTTCCACAATTAGCAGATGTATTTTTCAGCTGAATGGCTCCTTAGGTCTGGAATTCCATTCTTATATCTTCGCCTCTCTACCTAACTTACTTCTTGTAAGATCCTCCTTGAAAACCTACCTCTTTTGCTAAGCCTTTAAATCAACTCACCGAATATCTCATTGTGTAGTTTGGTGTCAAATGTTGTTATGTAACACACCTATAAAGCACATTAGAGACAACAAGGTGCAGGGCTGGATGAACACAGCAGGCCAAGCAGCATCATAGGAGCAGAGAGGCTGACCTTTCGGGCCTAGACCCTTCATCAGAAAAGGGGGAGGGGAAGGGGGTTTTGAAATAAATAGGGAGAGAGTGGGAGGCGGATAGAAGAGGGACAGAGGAGAGGATAGGTGGAGAGGAAACAAACAGGTCGAAGAGGCGGGGATGGAGCCAGTAAAGGTGAGTGTAGGTAGGGAGTTAGGAAGGGGATAGGTCAGTCCAGGGAGGACGGACAGGTCAAGGGGGCGGGATGAGGTTGGTCGGTAGGAGATGGAGGTGCGGCTTGAGGTGGGAGGAGGGGATAGGTGGGCCCCCTTCCCCTCCCCCTTTTCTGATGAAGGGTCTAGGCCCGAAACGTCAGCCTCTCTGCTCCTATGATGCTGCTTGGCCTGCTGTGTTCATCCAGCCCTGCACCTTGTTGTCTCGGATTCTCCAGCATCTGCAGTTCCTACTATCTCTGATATAAAGCACATTAAGCTGTTTAATTATTGTAAAGGTGCTATATAAATGAAAGTTGTTCTTCCCTCATTTTCAGACCAAAATCCTGCAGATGCCTAACTGAAAATACTGTGGGAATACCTATTCCACAAGTGGGCAGCACACCACCATCTTCTCCAGTGCAATTGATGGTATATAATATGTTATTACATACTTGTCAGTAACACCTATATCATATGAATTAATATTAAAGAAAAAGAACTGTGGAGGAACAAAGAGATTAAGCATTAGTGTACACCGGGCACTAAGACCCAATGGGCAGACCCCAGAAATTGACCTTTCTGCCTACCTGGTCCCACTTCCTACAGGGGATTTGTCCTGAGGTCCTTCTGGTCCCCTGTGGAAACATCATCCCTTTCCTCCCAAACCCCTATACCTCAAACATATATTTAACTAGAAAAGTTAAGGTTAGCACCAATTGAAAAAAAAACCATGCAATGCATCAAGGATTGGTGGTAAGATACAAGACTGGGAAAGGTTTAAAAACCAATAAAAGATGACTAAAATAATAATAAAGAGGAAGAAGTTATATTTCGAGGGTCAAATTGAAAATATTATCAAGGTGGACAGCAACAGCTTCTTTACACATATAAAAAGGAAGAGAGAGACTAAAGTTATAATAGGCTCTTCAAGAAGGCGACATAGAAAATTGATGCAGCAGCAGGTCATTTTCCCCTTCATGCCTGCTCCACAATTACTGAACAAAACTAGGAAATAATAATGGGCACCAGGAAATGGCAGAGGAATAGAATAAATACATTGCATCAGTCTTCACAGTACCAGATACTGTTAGTATTTCAAAATTATGAAATAATCAAGGGGTAAAAGGAAGAGAGGAAATAAATAGAATACCTATCACAAGTGAAAAGGGGCTAGGGAAATTAATGAGGCTAAAGACCGATAAGTCCCCTGGACCTGATGTGATGCATTCTTGAATATTAAAAGGAAGTAGCTATAGAGATAGTAGATGCAGTGGTAGAAATCTTCCAAGAATCCTTGGATTCTGGGTTCCAGAAGATTAGAAAACTACCAATGTAACTTAAAAAATTAGCTTATTGTCTGTCATCGGGAATTTGCTAGAATCTGCCATTAAGGATGAAATGGAAAGCATTTTGAAACACATAGTATGATTAAGCAGAGACAGCAGGAAATAGGCCTGACAAATTTATTAGAATTTTTTGAGGCGGTAATAAAGGGGAAGTATTATATTTGCATTTTCAGAAGGTGGTTGATAAGACACCATGCTTTAGGTGACTTAATAAAACAAAAGTCCGTGGTGCTGGAGGTAGTATATTAACATAGATAGATAGGCAGACAGACTAAGTAATAGAAGACAGAGGTTTAGAAGAAGGTGGGCATTTTCAGGATGGCAACATGCAACTAGAGGAGTGTCATGGGGATAAGTACTGGGGCCACAATTATATACAATATATATTAATGACTTAAATGAAGAAAATGAATATACAATAGCCAACTTTGTGGGTGACACAAAAATAGGTGTGAAGACAAATGATGAGGATGATAGAAAGAGTCTACAAAGAGATATGTGCAGGTTAAGCATGTGGTCAAAAATTTGGCGGATGAAACATGATGTGGGAAAACTTGAAGTTTTGCACTTTAGCAGGAACAGTAGAGGAGCTAAATATTTCTTTTAAATGGAGAAAGACTGCAAAAAGGTACAGAACATAGGTATTTGTGAGTCCTCATGCATAAATCTCAAAAACCTAGTATATACATTCAGCGAGAATGTTGGCCTTTATTTCAAAGGGAATAGAGGATAAAAATAGGGCAGTCTTGCTAAAACTATACAAGGCATTAGTCAGACTATGGCTGAAATACTGTGAACATTTTCAGACCCCTTTTCTAAGGGAAAATAAACTGTCATTAGAGATAGTCCAGTGAAGGTTCACTAGGCTAATCCCTGATATGAACATAGAGCTTCAGGTTGCTCCATTTGAAGCTTTCTATCTTCCCGCCATCACTTTCGGGTCCAGTTTCAGCAGTGTGAATGCACCCCTCCTTTAAGAGAATGAGTTGCTTCTATCACACATTCCTAAGTTCCTTGATGAGCTGCAGTCAGTCAGAAGCATGTTTTGGATGGGCTGCACAGTACAATCATTGAGGTGAATAAGTCATCGGGAGCTTATGCACAGTCTGCTTCAACTCGTCCAGACACAGGATAATCATGCATCATGATCACTGCATCTGAACATGGGACTGATACCATTTTTAATCCAAGCTATTTTTACTGATGGACGAATCCAGAACAAAAGTGTACAATCTTAAAATTAAAGTCAAACAATTCTTCAATATAATCAGAAAGAATTTCATGAGGAAACTAATAGCAATCTCCCGTAAGTCTCTGGATCTTGTATCAATTAAGCTTTCGAAGGTAGAGATCAGTATTTTTTTCTTCGATAAAAAGAAATATAGTTGTGGACTTTACATTGTCCCACCAGTATGTGTGAAGATTGCCAGCCTGCCCGCTGCCTACCCACCTATCCCTGCCCCTACTGCAGTTTTGCCCGTGGAGGGAGAGGTGTTAGGCAGCTAGCAACCAGTGGGCTGATTGAGACCCTTAAGTAATGAGATTATAAATAACAAGAGAGGCTACCCCATCCTAAGCTCATAGGCTTCCCTGTATAGGTTGGGAGTGGACAGGGGAAGGGCCCCATCTAACAAGTCCCTTGAGTCCACAGAATGGCTCCTGATATATTACCACTGTCTGTACCTTCATGGTCTCTCATACTCCAAGTCCCACACCCGATTGCCAGAGCCAATGATCCACCACTGAAAGCTTCTTGATCACATGTGTAAAGTACTGGCAATGCCCACTGTACTTGGTGGCACTGCTAGTCCTGGAAGACTGGTGGCATCTGATTGGCTGGCAGCTCTTTGAGTGGAATGTCTTATCTCTGATGAGTGGAAGCTCCATTGCCAGTCTATTACAAGCTAATTGACTGAATCTGGCTGTGGGCCAGCTGTTCTTCACCTGGGCTTCTACCTTGGCACCCTGTAAAATCTATCCCTTGGACTAAATGCAGATAATTGTGATTGCTGTGCAGATTAGCTATGATCTAATTGAATGGTGGCAGCATCTTGAGGGGTTGAATAGCTTATTCTGCAAACCTATTTCCTATGCTCTAATATGCCTTGGTTAGAAATATGCTGTGCGAGAAGCCACCAACACAATTCACTTTATTCCATTGGTGTAAGTTATGTTGCAGGATTTGGATATTGCAGCACTGCATCACTCAAAGTGGTTAATCCTTAAACAAAACTGCAATGAGCTCTGCATGAGGACATAATTCTTATGTCAAACCCGTTAATAAATGGAATATTTGAGATGCCATCTTGGAAAATAAATATTTGTAAAACAAATGCAAGCTTTGTTTGAACATCTTGCACTGCCAATACACCCTAGACCATTCGAGCAAACATCTTGTAATTCAACACCAACTTAATGGAAGGAACAATTGACAGTAGTAGCATTTTCTTCTATTGCTGCTTTTCAAAGTCACGCCAGCAACATGCACAACAAAATTCAGGCCCATATTCTTCAGTGCAAAGAATTGTGATTATCAAACAATATAACAATATTTATAATAATGGTCTTGTCTTTTTCACACATAATATTTCTTGAATATAACTGCTTTTCATAAATGTTGTGAAATAAATGATTAAATTATGGAAAACTTTTTTTAACAAGGTTTTTAACAATAGAAAAGAAAGCAGAAACAAATACCGTTTAAAATGAAAATGCTGTTTAAATGATCAATGATTCCCTTTCCAAATCAGTCAATCTTGCAAACTATCCCTGCATCCTCTGCATGCCCGCAGTTAGTTTTTCCCCATCCTGAGAATTTGCATTGAAGAATTGTCTCCTCAGTTCCTGTACAAGAAACGTCATCCATCCAAATATGACCAGTGCCTGCAAATAATCAACACATTTCTCTTAATCAACCTGTTTTCATTTAAAAATACTTAAATATTCTTTGCAGACCTAAAAGTTAATCAAAATGACTTGATATTTGCGAGTGAACAACTTTGATGATGAAACTATGTCTTTCAAATTTACTTTAAATTTACTGCCTGTATTCATTTTTGTTATCTGTTGATCTTCCCATGACATTTAAAGTTGTTGTTTCTAATTCCAAGTGCTAATAGTTGCCTGGAACAGTAAGCATAACCTTGTGTGCCAGATTTCAGATATTAACATATTTGTCCAGAATATGATAAACACTGAAGTGAATTTGTCCAAAGTTGTCCAAAATGTGACCCTTTCAGCATTTTAAGAAATTGCAAATTTTTCTATGATCTCAGCTTTGACACCAACGTAAGTTTCAGAACTTCATGCTTTCTGGTGAGTATTCTTGATTATTTTTCTGAAAGTAAAATGGGCTGATAAGAACTACGTTGTGAGTTGACTACATGTGAAAGAAGATCTTAAAAGTACACAATTGGAATTAGTTTTAGTTGATTAAGTTGAGGTGATAGTGAACTCAAAAGTAGATCAGAACCAAAAATTTGTATTATGCTAAATTTTGAGTATAACCTTGCATTGTTTTTAAGAACATTTGAAAATGACTTTTAAGATTTTGCATCAATTTTAAAGGGATCAATTATAATTTCTTTGATCATGAAAAATACTGGTCCATTGATCTGGCAACCCTTGACCTCGAAGTAGTTCCAAGATAATGTAAGTAACATATAGATCTAATGTGGTCAGACACGCAAAAAAACCTGCAGCACAGGGCACACTTGCAAGGAGCTTTATTTGAAGCTGGATAGGAAACCAAATGCAGGTTAGAACTGAGATTGTGAATTAAACAATTTTACTGCTGTTGCTTCAGCTTTGCCAGAGCCCATCTGATCATTTAACTGGGAGTCTCTGGAGAATCTGTATCGTGAAAACTGTCATGAACCTACAGGAGTGTGCCATTTGAGTGCTGACTATCTCGAGGGACTTTGGATGGAATACAACTATCAATATAATACAATGTTCAACAAAACTATATTCTGGTCAAAAAGGATTTGATGAGAAGGTTGAACCATCAGTGGTTAACAAATGTGGGCATAGAGAGTATCCAATCAAAAATTAGAAATAAAAAGTGGTAAAAACTAGTGGTAGGTGAGAGGATTAGAATTTTTTTTTAGAAACCGGCACTGGATGACTAAAAAGCTAACAAAAGAGGAGAAAACTAATACTGAAACTAAATTAACAAGAAACATAAAACTGAACAGCAACACCTTCTAGTTGTCTATAAAAAGAAAGACAACAGATAAAGTGAGTGTTGGAGCAAGAAATGGCAGATAAGTTAAACATATCTTTTGCATCAGACTTCATGCTGCAAAACACTAAACATTCCAAAGATATCAGATAAGCAATGTGCGAATGAGAGGAAACCTTTTATAGCATTCTGGAATACAAGGGACAAAATACTTGACAAATTAATTGGACTAAAGGCAGATAAGTCATTAGGACCTGATAGTCTGCACTTGATGGTTTTACAGGAAGCGGCTTTGGAGATAGTGGAGACATTGGTTGAAATATTCCAGTTCTCACTAAATTCTGGGAGGGCTCTGGCAAACTAGAAAACTGCTGATGTGATTCCCCCATTCAAGAAGGGTGGGACTCAGAAACCAGGAACATATAGGCCGATGAGCCAAACGTCTGCCATTGGAAAAAGGCTAGAATCCACTATTCAGGAAGAAAAAGCAAGACATTTAGAAATGCTTAATGCAATCAAAGAGTCAATATGGTTTTGTGAAAAAGAAATCATGTTTTACAAATTTGCTAGAGTTCTTTGAGGATATAACAAGCAAAGTTGATAAAGCCAAATGGGGAAATGTATTTGGATTTCCATCAGGCATTCTTTAAGCTGCCACATAAAAGGTTGTTGAATAAGGTAGTAGTTCATGATATTTGGGGTAATGTATTATCATGGTTTGAGGATTGGTTAAGACATAGAAGACAGAAATCAGATTAATGATTCTTTCAGGTTAAACTAGTGGAATGCCACAAGGATCAGTCTAAGGCCCTTAATTATTTGCTGCCTATATTACTGACTTGGAGGGGAGGGGGCGGAGTATAATATATCCAATTTTGCTGCTGATACAAAAATAGATGGGAGGGTATTTTGCAATCAGGGTGTAACGAATCTGCGATGGGATATAGAAATGCCAAGTGAGTGGCCAAAAATTTGATAGATGGAGTTTAATACAGGAAAGTGCAAAGTCATGCATTTTGGTAGGAAGAATCAAAGGAAGACTATTATTTAATATCCAAAAAAGTGAAGCACAGATGGATCTGAGTGTTCTTATGTTTGAAACACAAAAGGTTAGCATGCAGGAGCAGCAAGTAATTAGGAAGGCAAATGGAATTTTGGTTTTTGGACTTTGGAGTTTAAAAATAGAGGAATATTGTTACAATTGTATAGGGTGATCAGGAGTCCACACTTGGTGTACTGTGTTTGGTCCCCATATTTAGGAAAAGATATAATGGCACTGGAGACTGTTCAAAAGAGATTCACTAGGTTGATTCCGGAGGTGAAGAGGTTGCTTAATCAAGAAGGGTTATATAGGCTTGCCCTTTGTTCATTGCAGTTTAGAAGAATGAGGGGCAATCTTATCGAAATATTCAAGATTCTGAAGGGGCTTGACAGGGTAGCCATAGAGAAGATGGGGAATTTCAGGCATAGTTACAGAATAATGGGAGGTTCTTTTAAAAAAATGTGGAAGAATTTCTTCTCAGAGGGTAATGAGTGGCATTCTCTACTCAGAGTTCTGGGGATGAAATTACTGAAAATATATAAAAGAGGGTAGATAGATGTTTGAAATATTGATGACCTAGTATGAAAAGAGGAGGTGAGGCCTGGGGCAAATCATCCTTGATCTTACCGAAAGGTGGGGCTGCTTGAGGGGCTACATGGCACTGTTTTGCTCCTGTTTCAGTAAACCTGACTCAATGGGCAAATTGATTAAATGGGAAAATGAAATATGTTATGAATCAGTTTAGTTTTAGTTTCACTTTTTATCCATGAGTTCCAAACTTGGAACCCCCCCCGCCCCCCCCCCCCCCCCCCAACCAAAGAATGCATTTACTTTTGTTCCCAATGCACCTCATAATTGAAGTCATCTCACTGAAATCCCATCAGGAGTCACAAGATTCCACTCTTTCCAACTGTCAGGTTGTAAGGTAATTCTGGAGTACAGCAAGGCAGAGTTAAATTTATTTTACCAAAAGTTGGTGTATGGGTGCAGCGGTTTAAAGTTGGTCAGTCAGCGGTGCCTAATTTTATGGAGGTGAGCTTGGTGGGCAGAGAGAAGCACTTTTGCTCCTTCCGGGCAACAAGTAGTGCATCAAAGTCATACTCTAACTCCTTCATAACTCCCCTCCACTGCCAGGATTCCACAGGAACAAGAAACCTAGTCTTCAGGTATTAAAGATTAAGTTACAATGCAGGTATTCATCCTCTTTGAAGTATTTCAGTGACTGACCTCATCGAATAGTCTTTCTCATAGAACCCTGACAGTGTGGAATGAAGCCATTCGGCCCATTGAGTCCACATAACCCCTCCAAACAGCATCCCGCCCACACCCCTACCCTATTCCTGTAACCCTGCATTTTCCCGTGGCTAATCCCTGGACACTATGGGCAATTTAGCATGGCCAAACCTCCTAAACTACACATCTTTGGACCGTGAGAGGAAACCGGAGAACCCGGAAGAAACCCACGTAGACAAGGGGTGACTGTGCAAACTCCATACAGACCTGTCTTCTTACAGTGAGTTCATTAACTGGCTCAGGGTAAATCAATGCTGAGGGAGGATCTCAAGAAGGGGTTTTACCACGTTTCTTGCATTGGAAATACTCTAACATCTGCTTCAAGCATGCGTAAAGAATGCTGCCTCCCTCCATTAAATTCAGATGTGAATGAATTAAAGGTAGCTGGCTGTTATTTTTTTGAAATTTTGTAGTGCCAAATCAACCTGGGTTTATCAGAAGCAGAAATTGCTGGAGAAACTCAGCAGGTCTGGCAGCATCTGTGAAGCGAAATCAGAGTTAAGATTTCAGGTCCAGTGACCCTGCTTCAGAACAGAAGGACTGAAAAGCCCTGCCCTGGGTTAAACCTCACTTTCACTTTGCGCGGCTTTTTTCTATTCCAGTGCTGAACCTAACTAGGTTGTGGTCTGTCTTTCACTAGTTTGGTTTGTTTTTCTAGACCAGTTATTCTTCTCAAGTCACTTACCAGCACTAGATTACTTCTTTCCCATATTGAACTTGAAAGACACTTATCTAGAAGCAGTCCTGACTGCATTGTAAAACTCCTACATGCATTACCTTTATTATAGCCAAAATGAAGAGGCTATAATACAATAAAGGAAAAATAAAATGGCGTTTGGATTTTTAGCAAACTGTCAGTCATCCAGAAGTATCTCAGCAGTTAATTTCTACATCCAAGCTTCTTGTTGCCCACTTTTAAAAGGAGTTCTGAGGAAGGGTCACCGGACCCGAAACGTTAACTCTGTTTTCTCCTCCACAGATGCTGCCAGACCTGCTGAGCTTTTCCAGCAACTTTGTTTTTGTTCCTGATTTACAGCATCCGCAGTTCTTTTGGTGTTCTTTATCATGCTTGAAGTAAATGTTATAACTTCGCCAGAGCAAGAAATGTGGTAAAAACCGCTGCTTGAGATCCTTCCTCCAGCATTGATTTACCCTGAGCCAGTCAGTCCCTGCATTCAGTGAAGCAGTTCTACTGAATGCCTGTACAAGAGTCTGACACCATATTAAAGGACCCTGATGACTGCCTCCACTTCAGTCCTCAACCTCCCCTTGGCAAAAAGATCTCTGATATCTCACTTTAAACCTGTACAGACCTAGGCTGCCCAGCTTTCCATCTCCCTCTCTGTCCCACACCCCATCATCCCT